TCCAAACCTTATGTAATCCACATCTTTGTATTATTTCAGAATGAAAATACTGGACCTTTCCAACTTCTTAACCGATTAATTATAAATAAATCTTTCCTTTTTTTAATGTCATGATAAAATAACTTTCAGGTGATTACAAGTCGACTGCCGTATCGGTTCCAACAAACACCGATGTTGACCCAATAACTACATGTCTTGTGACCACTGAGACATCATGACATCTATTAAGACGTCAGAACCGATCTCAGCATCACCCACAACTATGGATATTCAACTGGATATTTTAACCGACACTCAATCAGAATGCATACATTCTTCATATGGAAGTTTTAGTAACGGTGATCCTGTGCACGAAAGTGCATTTACACCCGCAAATAGCTTTCCTGAGACGAACTCATTGACGTCCAGTTCAGTGAATTCTCCTGAGACATCCATCATAGAGACCGAACCTTCTTCCGAATCACATTCTACATCCACAAATCGCATGTACTCAGTCGCCGTTTCAATGATTTCCAATTCAGGAAAGACATCCGTCATTGAGACCGAATCTATCGAATCACATCTGACATCCACAATGACATCAAATAAGCTTACTCCTATCAGCCTGTATTTTTCAACCTCGTTAGTCTCTGACAGCACAACGACCAAAACAGCTTCTGCGTCAAACGTTGCACCCTCTGAAACATTAACGATGACCATGTCTGAATCGTCACAAATCACCACGTTGATTGATGTTGTTGATACAACATCATCTGAGGGTACAAAGTCTACATCAACTATAGTCAGCGATCCTCTGGAACCGGAAACAAGCACACAGGTTTCCAACCTGGATCTCGATCCATCTACGGTGGCGCTACGTACTGGTAAGAATTCGTTATCTCACCAATTGCCAATTGATGTTATTATCAGGACGTTGTCTAACAATACAAATCGATCATGTATATTGAAGCATGAATTATTGTTAATAGTGACACACCTTTTGGCAATGAAACTCCCAACTCAACTGTCATATGTATATTTTGTCAATATGATGGTCAATACTAGTAAACTAGTTGATATAGAATATTCTGTCAGACAATTACCATTGATTGTGCATCTTCTGATAACCTTGATGTGATCGAGCGCACCTTCTCAGCAACTGACACGACTAATGCTAACCAAAAAGGCTTAGTGGGCACGAGGATATCAGGGTTCTTGCAATGACATAAAAAAAATGCAAATATAGCTGAACTGTCGTCTCAAGAAGTCCAATCTGAACATATTCAAAGTCTTTGACTTCCACTGACATCATGTGTTGGAAGTTCCTGTAGGCGAAGGGGTTAAAACATATGACTCTGAAAATAAATGTGTTTATTTCTGCAGATTTCAATTTCCCCAGGTACAAGTACGCCGAGCGAGCACCAGTGTATTTGCACATGCATGCACCCTTTGATGTCGGTGGCAATCCACCACAATGACAATATATTGGATCCAAAGAATCTCTCCTCCTACAGAAGGTCCAAGACTTCGGCCTATGATGATCGTGTTTCGGCCAGAGCTATCGGCGGTTCAGGACTTGCCATCATCATCCTCGTCACAGCGCTCATCGTGTGTGTAGATGTGGACAGAATGGTCCGAGCGATGGGACGATGCAGAAGAGTGGACACTTCAAGCCCTTTGAATGTTTAGTTCGATGTTTTTAGAAGCGGAGGCAATTATAAACTACAAGCGCATTCCATGTTGTTTCGACGTCGACGGGACCTACGTAAATACTTCGTGTTATCCAAAGTTCGACTAAATCACAGCTTGGCATTCATTTACTTTGACAAACAAAGAGAAAATGAAGTTAATGACTGAAAATGTACAGGGAAAACTATTCGAGACAACCGTAACTTCGACTCATTAGCGGTCAATTTAGATGAATAACGAAGAAACACGCAGCCAAACGGAAGATCATCACATCAAATTTCCGCATAACGCTGTTTGACTTTATTATGTATATTTTTATATGTATGTATAATTTAGGAATCTAAATTAGATTTAAAAGTTTGCCCCTTCCCTGTAAGAAGATGTAACGGTAGGTATATTCCCCACTGCATGTGTCATGGAAATTGAGTGGGTTAAAAGCAGACACTAGAAACCCACTTCATTCCAAAAAGCGAAGCCTTCAAAAGTTTCAAAACATTTAATCTTTTTTACTCCCAAGTTATCTGCTTCGATAATTTGAATATAACTGAAGGTTTGTGTGATTTAATATACGTCATAGCTTGGTGTCATTTCATTGTTAAGTACACAAAATATTATTTTAACCTATAACTGCTGCATATGCTTGACTAGGGTATTACCATAAAGAAGTCATCATCTAGTACGCATGAAGTATCTGCTGTAGTGTAACTGCATAGATATTTTTACATGGTAATTTGGAGCAGCAGGCAAGGAAAAAGCTAGAAAATGATATTACCTTAACAGAATCATGTACATGCTCTAATTATAACCATTTCCTATTTCTGGTGCCTACTTTTGTTTTGGAAATGTTGGCGGGCTTGTAGCCAAAGGTATAGTCCGTTTGACTTCATTTGAGACCGATGAATTGCTCACTAACACAAAATCTAAGGTTACAACAAAAGTAATTTTGCACTGTCACATGAAATCGACAGACCAACTCTGATTCGGGTGTCCAAAATTATGAGCCAAATCATCAGAGTTGGTCTGTCGATTTCATGTCACTATGCAAAATTTGGTTTTGTTGCAATTATTAGAGTTTGTGTTAGTGAGCAATTCATCGGTCTCAAATGAAGTCAAACGGACTATACCTGTGAGGATTGTGACCAATTGTTCTGCAAGGACACGTAGGTGATGGCTCAAATCCTAGGTTCGCCCTCGTGCTTATGCTAATCGCCAACGGCTGAGGGATGGTGTAAATCCAGTTGGGGTTCATGCTGGAAGCAAAGTACCCATAGTCCTATCATGGTGATCTACCTTCAGTTGGTGGCGATCTATAGCCCGTTTTTATATTGTATTGTTAAATATGATGATATATTTTATAGTTACATGAAAGTTTTGAATCTCTATCTGTGATCATCTAGCCTTTTACTGTCCTTTGTTGACAGGTTTTAATTTGAAATGTATTGTTTAAAAATATTGTATTACTGTATAAATTCTTCAAGTCACAATATGGTGATCTACCTTCAGTTGTTGGCAATTTATAGCCGGTTTGTATATTCCATTGTCATTTATAGGTAAAATATTTTAGATTTAATTACTAGTCTTAAATTTCTTCCTGTGATAATCTAGTTGTTTTACTGTCCTTCGTCGACAGGTGTTTTAAAATGTAATTGTTTTTATTGTTAATTTATAACTTTTAAGTCACAATGTGGCTGAAATATTGCCGATGTGACTATAAATTTTAACTCACTCACTCACTCACTCACTTTAAGTCACAATATGGCTGAAATAATGCCGACGTGATTTAAATTAAACTCACTCACTCGTGCTGATGCCTGTATACCACCTAAATAACCAGGCTTTTTTTTGTTGAACGCCAACAACGGTGATACAGCTGTTTCAATGTTCAAAGCAAGACCCTCGGTATTTGACGGGTAATCCGAAAGTCATGAGCAAGAGAAAGCGTATGAAAGCCACAGTTAAAAACGTTTTCATCATCTGCGTAGATTATACACACATCCACGCAGATGATCATTTACTTCTACATAGTGACTTTTATCGCCATATGTGAGATAATAATAATTGTGCTTAACGTTACTCAGAACGTGATATAGTCTTGTGAAGTTGCGACCAGAGTTGTATGTTGTGTGCGTGCGTGCGTGCGTGCGTGCGTGCGTGCGTGCGTGCGTGCGTGCGTGCGTACGTGTCTGTGTATGGTCATTGATTTCATATTCATTTGGCCTTTTCTGTGCTCACTCACTTTATACATTTTATTTTGTCAAACTATCAGCCTCAAATAAATTTATTTAAATTCCCAACACTTGGGAACAACTAAATGAAGAGTTACTTTATTGAATGTTCTGATCGAACCTTACTTAAGTCAATACACCATTGACCATTATTAATTTCGAAACTGATTACATGAAACAGACCTATTAGTCTCTCAAGAGATGACGGTTATCAAAGTCGATAATTCAATAATAGACGACACATTCTCTTTATTTGATTATTTATGTAACTAAAAGTATAATCTACATGGATGGTACTTTACATTTCTACGCATATATTATAGTCCTAATACGCTTCCATAGTTCAGCATCCAGTGAGCTTTGTACCAAACATTTTAATTGCAAAAATGTCCATACCCACTCCATATGTATGGAATTTTGAATGTGCTAAAACAAATGTTTCTTCTTAATCGTACACTTCGCTCTGACGCCCTTACTTCAGAATATACTGACCCGTGAAGATCCTGGTTAGAATTGATGTTCAGTAACCCATGCTTATCGAAAGAGGCGACTAACTGGATCGGGTGGTCAGGCTCGCTGACTTGGTTGACACATGTCATCGTATCCCAGTTGCGTAGATCGATGCTCTTGCTGTTGATCACTGGATTGTCTAGTTCAGATTTGATTATTTACCGCCACCATATAGCTGGAATATTGCGGCGTTAAACAACAAACAAAGTCAAATATGTCAAATATGACCAAACATGACTGGTGTGGTCAAAGAGTTCACCGGAGATTCTGACTAAGAATTGATCCTCATCAGCTGATGCTGGGCGCATGAAGCGACTCAGTAGTTCCGAATGTCAGACTCGGTGACTTGGTTAATAAAGAGCCTGTCATCGCACCTGACTGCATTGTATCTTTTCTTATAATATCAATCACTGGATTGTTTTCATCATAACTCATTATTTACAGATAGCTGTTATAAAGCTTGAATAACCTTCAATGTGTCTTGAGGCCAAGCGTTAGTCACCTTGACTTGGCAAACAAAGTTCAACGAGATACAAAAACGTGCTGCCTTATTCCTCACAGACCATGTTGTATTGTGCTTTGGGATAACAGATAACAACCATTTCATTCTTTATTTGAGCTGTAGTCACAGAATATGAAGTACAGTTTTCTCAAATACAATTATACATCATTGTGAGTACAAGTCAATATAAAATAGAATTTTATGTATGTTAATGCAACACAGTTTTGGGCCAAAAAGTGGCTGAAATATTGTCGATATGTCACCCTGGCCCCACTTTTATGTTGAATTGTGCTGTCCCTTTTCGATATATTTTTTATTTAGCCTAAATATATTTATTTTTCATGTGTAACTTTCTCACAATAAACTTAAACTATTGCCGATGTTTGTTTTCACTCACTCACTCTATAGTCCTTCGATGACAATGTTTGAAATAAGGGTGGAATAATAGTAGGTGCCTCGTTGCAAATAACTTTAAGATTGCTGAGGCGGCGTTAAGCAGTACCAACTCACTCAGTCACTCACTCACTCAAACCCACCCACCACCCACCCACTCACTCACTCACTCACTCACTCACTCACTCACTCACTAAACCATCACGCCGAAGACCCGACTTCGATTCACCACAAGGGTACAATGTGTGAAGTCCATTTCTGGTGTCGCGGCGTAACACTCACTCACTGATTGTGTACCAGCTGAGCCAACAAGTGAGGGTATAGTACAAACACAAAATAGGTCGTGGTGAACTGGGATTCACATCAAAGGATCATAGGCCTCTTGTACACCTATGGGATGCAACTCTCCACAGTTAATTTGCAGCGTCTTCTACGACATGGCCATCCTTGTCCCCGAATTTTTACTGAGGTGCATAAAAGGTAAATTGCAATAGGAAGCACAACAAATTCCATATTTAATCAAATACATGTGACAAAATATCTCCATAATCATAAGGAATATCTACTTCAAATGATGCTGTCATTTTCTTGCTCCGCCGTAGGCACTAATAAAAAATACGTGCAAGGAAACCCTCCAAACAGTTCCGCACTAGTAACTGTGTTACCATCCGCAGTTAATCAATTAATGATATCTGTATTTAATGGCACGATGTCAGTAATTGCATTGGTGATATCAACAAGAACATGAATATAGCTTTAAATCGTATTCAGATATCGGTTTAATTCTTTTCAAGTTATCAATAATATGGTTCACCAAAATTAGAGGCACCGTTTCACACCAAACTTCTCTAAAAATAAATAATTCACTTCTCTCAATACTACTAACTATCAGCACTCAGGGAAGCTACCATATAACATATTTTAAAAAAAATACGTATTAAGATCACAATATTAAATTAAAAAGTTCGAATGAATTAATGCAACGTTGCATTAAATCGCCTCTTGCGCCCTCTACCGGCCGAACATTATTTCAAGCGAACCTCATAGCGTTTTGTCCCTTGGAGCACTCTTTACGAATATCCTACTGTACTTGTGATTGTTCAAAACTACTTCGGCAGTCACCGGCAACACCACGTGCGACAGTTTTCGATGTACGGAGCAATTGTTTACATGTATATTCCATATATGGCAAGTGTTCTCTGTTTGTAGGCTATTCGCCTCGAAGTTTCGATTATCGATTTCGCAAGGGATAATAAGTCTTTATTGTATCAATAGGAAGCTAAAGTGAGTGCATATGCCTCAATATGTATAATATAGGCCAACATATTATCGAAATGTGTGAAATTGTGCTTTTAATTCATTTCATGACATCATGAATCTATACGCACATATCTATAATGATTTCGATTCAAAATATTTTTAATGCATTTCAAAATATTTTCAGAAATTCGAGAATCCTTTCAAACAATTAAAGATATCAGTAAATTTCGAAACAACTGCGAAAACGGCTTGACACGCCATTATCCAAGCAAACTGTGATACATGAAAAAGTACACATTTTACGTACGCCGTTGTTGCGGATGTGGATCTGAATAACGCAATCAAGTGAGTGAGTGAGTTTAGTTTTACGCCGCACTCAGCAATATTCCAGCTACACGGCAGCGGTCTGTTAATCATCGAGTCTGGACCATACAATCCAGTGATCAACAGCATGAGCATCGATCTGCGCAATTGGGAACCAAGTCAGCGAGCCTGACCACCTGATCCCGTTAGTTGCCTCTTACGACAAGCATGGGTTACTGAAGGTCAATATTCTAACCCGGATCTTCACGGGTAAACGCAATCAATTACTGCATGCATATCCATTACACAAAAACGTGTTTTCTTTTCTATTTTTGCATATAGCTGATCAACAACAGCATAAATACCAGTGAATCAAAAAATATAAAAATAATCCTCTATTCCGACTCTCATCAGTAGCACTCCGTGATGGTTGCACCATGTCTGCGAATAATAGCAGTGAGAGTGTTTAGTTTTAGGCCGCACTCAGCAATATTCCAGCTATATGGCGGCGGTCTGTAAATAATCGAGTCTGGACCAGACAATCCAGTGATCAACAGCATGAGCATCGATCTACGCAATTGCCATACGATGGCATATGTCAACCAAGTCAACGAGCCTAACCACCTGATCCCGTTAGTCGCCTCTTACGATAAGCATGGGTTACTGAAGATCAATTCTAATCCGGATCTTCACGGGTAACAATCATATAAGTACTATATCTACTGTTGTTATAATTATTATAATAACCACTGCCACTAAAGGCCACTATAAGCAGCATATTATATCAACATTTCAGTTGGGCAGAAAATATTAAATGTTATTAGATTAGATTATAAACTTCTATGCATGTTGTAGTTTTGCCGCGGCCATTGAATCCATGTGTATTGGAATTATATTCTCAACTCCCTGAGGAGGGTATTACGTTTGTAGTTATAAATCAAACGTGGATTAGGTCTATAACAATACCTCTTTGCATACAGACATAAATGTAACGACCAAGCTTAAGAATTCCTACTCGTGCATATTTAATGCATGCGTCACATTTGGAAACACAATTGAGACAAGACCCATCCGAGAATCGAACCCACAGTTTCAGAGTGAATCTCCTCATCGCCAGCACATACAATCAGCAATCTAACCCACTCAGCCACAAAAAAGCCTGATGACGACAGTACCTGGTAAGATAATCACACCCGCTCAACGCTCCTCTTTTTAAAGATTTGATGTACAAACATCGCAACCCTGTCTAAGTCCATACACACGATGAACACAAACACGCACGCCAAGATGGCGATCCCAGTCTTTCCAATTGCTTGGGCTGATGGACGGTCATCTGCGGCAGATGTCTTGGACCTTCTGTATGCAGACACCTTCTTTCTGTCTATTGCAAGATCCAAATCCTCCAGGTCAAATGGTTCTTTGTACCTGCAGCTACAGGGGCAGTCTGTAACCTCTGTAGAAAAGTAAATGCATTATATCAAACCACACTTCTCTAAATTTGAATTATGCATTTCTCTCAATAATACTATCAGCCTTCAGGGAAGCTTTCATTCCAATACAAATACGTATTTAGATTACAATATTAAATTAAAAAGTTCTAATGAATTAATGCAACGTTGTATTGAATCGACTCTCGCGCCCTCTATCTTCATTATTTCACGCGAACCCCATAGAGTTATGTCTCTTGGAGCTCTCTTTACGAATATCCAACTTGTGATTGGAACCAGTTCGGCAAACACCGACAACACCGATCGTTTACATTCCCCATATAGTAAGTGTTCTCTGTTTGGAAGCTGTTCGCCTCGAAGTTTCAATTATCGATTTCAGTCAAGTCGTAAGGGGTAATAAGTCTTTTATTGCATCAATAGGAAGCTAATGTGAGTGCATATGCCCTGTATATATAATATAGCCTAAAATATTGTCGAAAATGTGTGACATTGTGCTTATAAAATTAGAACAAGCAAGTTTTTACCTGCAGGGAAGGAAATATGCCTCTTTCACAACTTATTAAACCGGTGCTAAAGGTAAACAGGTGAGATGACAGTGCATAGAATAAGATTTTGAAAGGTAAATCCGGACATATTTTACAGGTGGTTTGTATTTCCATCAGGGACACGTGCATTCGTGACCAATTCAACTCATGTTATTCCGGGACAAGCCGAAAACTTCTTGGAGGTTACGGAAAGGGGGCGAGTGGTGACGAATGGGACACGTGCGCAAAATGCTGACACTATTGTAGCATAAATTATTCATCCTGCGAAATTTGTCGTTGCTTCGTATATTTTCAAAAACATCAAATTTCGAGTTTTCGAAGAAAATTTGAAGAAACATGAAAATATTCGAAGCAGGAAGCAATAATTGAACTTCTCAGTCAAGTAAATAGTCATGTCAGACGATTGCCGTTTTTGTTAACATTGTGTTTGTCTATTACCGTTGCGTACACGATGTTACGAATGTCAGTTCGAGATAACAATAGAATTTCGGAACATAGCGTAAAATAGGTCATAACATTTATTCATTATAAAGAAGACAGCTGATGGTATAATCGACAGCAAAACTACTATTTGTAAGCCCCGGTTAAAATCTAAAAGATCAAATGGTAGAATTGGTTTTGTTTTATTCGTTGATAGATATAAATCTCTGACATACTCACAGTAGACATTTCAGTGTAAGTTAGTATCCTCGTGTAAGAAACACATAAGTTACCGTCGAAATATGTGATACTGTTGCTGACCCAAATAATCCAGCAACATTACGCCCATCCGTAATTGACATTAGGAGCACCGCCCCGAGTAGGGGGAATTCAATTACATGCAATTAGTCTTTAGATTGAGTCTCACTAACAAAACCAATATGTCCACCAGTATACACGTTTTGGGTCGTAAGAACGTCCAGGGAGAAGATTTTTCCCTTTAGAACGTGCATGTGTACCTAAAGGGGACTTCGTAATTCTGATGGTCAGGCACGGAGACTTGGTTGAAAGCGTGCCATCACACTCGACGGCGTAAGTAGTTGTTCATATTATCAACTATTTGGCTTGTATTTGGTGCGGCCTTAAACTTCAAACAGAACACCCAAACCACGGAATAGGATAAACACTTACCATAAACAATTGATTTGGTTGGTGCCAAAGAAACATCTTTCAATGTTGTCATCATTCCGTCGTGAATACTCGAAGATACCGGTTGTTGGTCACGAGACGTCTTTGAATCCCATGAACTCGGATCTTTACTTGGATAAGGAGATTCAGTCTTTGCAGAAGACTTGAAACTGGATTCTTTCCAGTCAGATAAACTTGACGACTCATCGATAAGAAACATCCCGACCGTTGTGTCAACGCTTGGCATCAACGAGGTCAGGGTCATCGCAAGCCCGGATGCGTACGTTGAATGAAATGATGAATCGCCTGTTGACTGAACGCTGGACAGCAATGACGACGTCATCTCTGTCACAGACGCGTACGCTGACTGAAGCGCTGAGTCGACTGTTTCAGGGACGCTTGGCATCAACGGCGTGGTCATCTCAATCCCGGATGAGTACGTTGACTGAAACGATGAGTCGCCTGTTGACTGAACTCTGGGCAGCAATGACGAGGTCACCTCTGTCACAGACGCCAATGATGTCTGAAATGAACTGTCGACTGTTATGTGGACGCTTGCTATCAACGGAGAGGTCAGCTCTTGCGTGGACGTTGTCAGGATCGAAGAAGCACTCGCTGGGGGAAGCTGAAAGCAGCGCTGTTTGAGTAGAAGGTGAAAGAATCACAGATGATGCTCCATCGGCGCTAGAGTTGCAGGAAACCACCGGTACCATGTTATCATTGGGTGCAACGTCCGGGGCAGTCGGCTCATACACACCTGCGGAAAGACACCAAACATTGACGCCAGTGTACGACCAATCTCGACGAACAACCTCCAGCTTCCCCTCACGCTCACACACATGAAAGATTTTATAGCATCAAAAGGCTTGACTCCTGAGAGTTTCTAGGCCTTCAGTCCTAGCTACCCAACAACGAAGCAGGTGTGATACATGGGGTCTCACCTTAGGCAAGTGAGTTTGTTCAAAATTGTCTCTGTTCACTCAGCAGAAAATGGATACCTGGTGGAATAAGTCATGTGACTATAAACCTTCTAGTGCAGGCGCAGCTTGGGTTATCCGGGGTGATAATAATCAGATTGTGATTTCAGTGCCGTTGAGCACCGTATGTGGAAACTAGGCGCTATACAAATCCATTATAATGATTATTATTATTAAATTGCACAAGAACTGTGTTGCCTGACGCCACACAGCTGGATTCCTGCCGTATTACGGCGGCCTGTAAACAAACCGATCAAGTTGTTATCCGTGAAGATCCGGGTTAGAATTGATCTTCAGTAACCCATGCTTGTCGTAAGATGCAACTAACGGGATCGGGTGGTCAGGCTCGCCGAATTAGTTGACATATGTCATCGTATCCCCATTGCCTAGATCGTTGCTCATGCTGTTCATCACTGGATTGTCTGGTCCAGACTCGATGAGTTACAGGCCGCCGCCATATAGCTGGAATATTGCTCTCTGTCACTTTATTGCGTTATTCAGATCCACATCAGCAACAACGGCTTAGGCAGTAATGCTAGTCTGGATTGTCTGGTCCAGACTCTATTAAATACAGACCGCCGCCTTATAGCTGGAATATTGTTGAGTGAGGCGTAAAAGGAACTTTCTTTAATTTTCGGCATGTATTTATGCTGCAAGTGGTTGCCGAAAGTTTTCTAACCAGGTTTTCATGTGTATTTCCTAAAACAATTTTATTTGATGCACAATGATAATGGGGACTGTTCACTGTAACAAGGATGCCAACCTACTTTTGGGACGCCTGGCCCTGCGGTATTCCAGATGCCACTGTGCAGTACTGGATGCCATAAATCTTTTTCTTGCACGCCGATGCCTACATTTCAATATTGAAGTACATTTTCATTTTTTTCTTGCAAAGGTGACATATTATTAAACTATTTGATTAAACTTTTTTAACTTGCATGTGAAAATTCCAGTCTAATTTACTTAGCTTCACGCACGTACTAGCTGAGTACACTGGTATGTAGTAGTTTGTTGTTGACGCCGCAACATACCAGCTGTCTGTAAATAATCGAGTCTGGACCAAACAATTCAGTCATTACATATATCTCAAATGTATGTTTTCTTATACCTTCAGACAACGAATAAGAACTATACAGTTCCAAAAACTGGCAGAAAAGGTGTTCACAATTTATTTTTTCTTTTAACTTGTCGTTTAACGCCGCACTCATCTATAATACAGCTGCATGTATATTGCAGCGGTCTGTAAATAATGGAGTCTGGAACAGACAATCCAGTGATCAACACCATTAGCATGGATCTACGCAATGGGGATACGATAACATGTGTCAATCAAGGCAGCGAGCCTGACCACCCAATCCTGTTAGTCGCCTCTTACGACAAGCATGGGTTGCTGAAGATCAATTCTAACCCGTTCTAATTCATTCACTGGTATGGGTCCTGAGTTATCAAAGTGCATGTGAAGACAAATTGGGAGGTATTCGGTGGTACCGGGAATTCCCGTATTTAGGCCCACGCGAAATTTAGCCCATGGGCTTAAACTTGGATTAAATTCTCGGGTGTTTTCAGTGACGTCCTTTTCCAAACGCGGAGACTTTGACTCTGAATAGTGTCACTGCCATAGATATCAGTCAGTTACTCCTGTCATATTAGTTGGAAGTTAAAATGTTGTTTTGGATTCAGAATTGCCGATGTGACGTAAAGCCCAACCACACTTAACTCAAACTATTAGTTTGAAGTTCATGTTTTGCATTTAATAGACTGTTATAACTTCAACATCATTCCGTTCCTGAGTTGAAATACTCACTCGAGTGAACATTTTCACTGCTTTGAACTCTAGAAACAGTGTGGTTCTAAATACTCTCTGTAGAGACTAGTCATTGTCTTAGATGTCAGTCAGTCCTCTCATAATAGTTTGAAGTTCGTGTTTTGCATTAAAGATTGTCAACTTTAACATTCACGTTTACATTTTCACAACTTTTAATTTTGAATTTATACACCAGTTTCCTGATTAAAAAATGTTAAAAATCCTGATTCTTTTCCTTTTTATCACAATATTGTGCATTTCGAATTTAAGCCAGTGGCGTAAATACGGGAGTTCCCGGTGCATTCGGTGGTGGGAGAGATCTCTTATTAGGAGTTTGAATTGAGAACAGCCCTTGGGTGTTCCTAAAACTTTGCATACACTATTCTCATATGTATATTTACTATTGCGAGGCAAAAGAACAATAACACTTAACAGCTCATTGGGTGTTCCTAAAACTTTGCATACACTATTCTCATATATATATTTACTATTGCGAGGCAAAAGAACAATAACACTTAAAATCAGCTATTTCTTTTCGGAAACTTTACCGGACCATAATTAAAGATCACCTGGAATAATTATCTCAAAACCAAAATTGGAAAATACAAGTTCTTAGGTTCTTAAATCACCAGTACTACATCCATGTAACAATCTGTAAATAATCGACCCCAGAAGAAAAAGTGAAAATAGGATTCATGGAGGCAATCAGCCGGTTACCTTCGATGCATCTTTTAACGTAAGTATTTGTTCCACTGTCAGCTACCAGGGACGGATTACTTTTAACGAAAACCGACTGCCGGCCCCAAAAATAACAGGCTGTCAAGGTAGGTGACGTTATTTGATGGAAAGCCACACATTCCATGGCCTCCGAGGAATAGTTCTTGCAAGCGTCCATGCATTCTTGTGTTGTCTTCACTTTCGTCCTCCAAAGAATTGTTAGACCGGAAGTCCTGTTTGATTCAAACATCTCAAATGTGCAATCCCCTGCAACGAAAATGACATGGAGAATTAGGACAAAATATGAAACGTTGTTCATTATGGGAATCGAACCCGGATAATCAGCGTTACAAACAGATTAATCAAAATCACATGTTGTACGTCGATGTGTTAATACAAGACACTTGATATGGATGTGCAACTTCTTTATTATTTACACACGACGTTTCTGGGCTAATACTTGCCCCTTTATCAGGTGAATGTTGATGAAGGTGCAAGTATTAGAAGAAACGTTGTGTGTAAATAATAAAGAAGTTGCATATCCATATCAAGTGTCGTGTATTACCCTACCAACTTCTAAATGCCTATCAAGATGTGATACTTTCCTGTATGAGGATTTGGCATATCCTAGTCACGATATAGCTGAAATACTGCCGATGTGACTATAAACCTAAACTAACTCACTCACTTATCAGTCAGTATCAAGGTTGTTGATCAAGTGTCGCAATAAGCCAATTTCCACTTTCGCGAAATAAGTTCGTTTAGAGTGATGTCCCTTTGTGATACTTGTCATAAGGGGCAGATAACTCTCAATGGCAAAGCTGGAAAATTGCTTCTCAGAACATCATATTGGATAAACGGGTCGTTCTGAGAGGAAGCAATGACGGCGCTAGTGTATTATCGTTGCGAATTAAACACCAAGTACTCGCCCAACACACTGTCCAGTTAATATGGATGTTCCATGTTAATGTCAATATTTCGGACAAAAAATGTTAAATTGAGCTGAGTCGTTTTATGTGTGTAAAATCTAATTGTTCAAGAATCAACGCATCATTTATTTAGATGAAGGGGTCATGGTTCTCTCAGCGTTCATCTGATACGAGATCTTCACGATCTTCTGTTAATGGCTTTGTGTTTGTGTTGCAGAATATATTGCATCGACTTTGTGAAGTCTAAAGTACTTGAAGGGCGGTGGGGTAACCTAGTGGTATAGATTCTCTCTCTCTCTCTCTCTCTCTCTCTCTCTCTCTCTCTCTCTCTCTCTCTCTCTCTCTCTCTCTCTCTCTCTCTCTCTCTCTCTCTCTCTCTCTCTCTCTCTCTCTCTCTCTCTCTCTCTCTCTCTCTCTCTCTCTGTGTGTGTGTGTGTGTGTGTGTGTGTGGCCATGACGTACTGGACCAATATACTGTCCAGTTAATGTACCCCCTAACCATAATTTATTAACGATCCCCTTATTTTGAAATGTGTACATGAAAACTTGTTTTGATTGTAACTTTATGTAATTATATTTGTGTATATGTGTATACTTGGTCTCGTAGCTGTATGGCGGAAACATTCCCGTTGCGACGTTAAATTTTAACCCAATCACCCAGAAACAACACGCACCTGTGTATTCCTCGCAGACAATATGGTATTTAGAGCTACATGCCCTAGTCCTGAACCCAGCACTCTCAGAATCATGAAGTCGCACACATCTGTGAATGGCAAGATGATCCGGCTCAGATAAACCACCCCACTCGACCCATCCGTGAGGCACACAGTCCAACGACCATCTCAGACTCGACACGTTGTCGTTTGGTTGAGACTGATGAAGTCCAGTCCAGTAATCGTTCGTCCTGTAATAGACATCATGGTCGATTTCGTATGTGAGGGGTGAGTGAGTGAGTGAGTGAGTTGGGTTTTACACCGCTTTTAGCAATATTCCAGCAATATCCCGGCGGGGACACCAGAAATGGGTTTCACACAATGTACCCATGTGGGGAATCGAACCCGGACCTTCGGCGTGATGACGTTTTAACCACTAGGCGACCCCACCGCATCTTCGTATATTAGGGTCATCACGCTCCACGGATGCCCACCAATTACAATCCATACAAAACATGTTCACCGTTTGTGCGCTTCCGGAAAGGTTGGTTGGTTGGTTGTTTAACGCCGCACTCAGCAATATTACAGCTATATGGCGGTGGTCTGTAAATAATCGAGTCTGGACTAGACAATCCAGTGATCTAGGCAATTGGGATACGATGACACGTGTCAACCAAGTCAGCGAGCCTGACCACCGATCCCGTTAGTCGCCTCTTACGACAAGCACGGGTTGCTGAAGACCAATTCTAGACCGGATCTTCACGGTTTGCACAAGGACAATCGTAATTCTTAAACACACAGTACTCACAAAAGTGAATTATTTTTCCAATCAGCCGCGATTTCCTGAAAATTCGTATATTTCGCCAATGTGTCCGGAGTGAGCATGTGTTGACCTTGAGCTTGACATATTGCATAAACCTCGTTCCAGGTTTTAAAACCGGGGTAAAGTGTGTATTTGACAGGAGTTGTTGGTAACGATGCTGTAATGCCTGCAAAAGAACGAACAACAACGAACGTGGTTATCTTAAATAATAATAATGATAATAATCAGTACTTCTATAGCGGTAAATTCCATATACCAAGTGCATGCTCAAAGCGCATACAAATAGACTGCTCATTAATATTCCGGATATTCCTGTGAGGCGCTAGAAGGTTATAGTCACATGACTTATCCCACCAGGTACCCATTTTCTGCTGAGGGAACAGAGGCAATTTTAAACAAACTCAATTGCCTACAATGCTTTTATATCAGTGTATGAGTGAGTGTGTTTGACGCCCGTTATTGCTGCTTGTCAGCTAAGTGTCAGGTGCTGGCCTAAGGTAAGGAAAGTCTCTTACGTTTTACCAAATCTATCTGCATGGGGAGAGGGCTGTAAAATGATTACATTTTTACTAGCCTTCATTGTCCCCACCGTGAGTTTGCGAGTTCACATTCCTGCTGGTTGCAAGAAGTAGTATACACAATGGGGGTTCTGGACCAGGGCCTTCCCAAGGCCTTAAAATTAAGGCCTTGGGAAGGCCCACTCCAGAGTCCCCATTGTTTCTGAAATAATCACTTTTTATCGAGCATGGGTGTCCGTCTGTCAAAAGGCTAAATGTTCAACGTATTGCCGTACTTGCTATAAAGTAGCGAGGTGATAGCTTCTTGAAGCTAAATCATACCGCAGCTCTCGGCAGTCCCGGCATTGCCCAGCTGCCATCTCAGAATCACCAAGCGAGCGCTGTGAGCGAGTTTCAGTGTCTGTCTCAGCTCAACTTGTACAGCCGAACGACCGGCTGGCTAGCTGGCTGGCTGGCTATGTTATGGTGATGTCCGAGAAACAGTTTATTGTGAATCTCCTTCTATGATTTGTTTGGTTTTCGTAATGACGGCTTGCCGGGCCTGTTGCTTCCCTAGTTCTATGAACTTGTGTTTCTCGTCTTTGCTGATGACAATGCTTTTACGAGTCTCGGTTCGAATATCTTGCTTCATTCTGTGGTACTTGGCGATTCCTGAGAGCACCGAACGAAACTCTTCCTCGGATATTTTGCTATCGGTGAGAGCGGTGGAAATATGATCATCTAAGGGCCAATCCCACCAACCCTGCCACTCCGGCTGTTATTTCGATGCCTAACACCATGAGTGCGGCCATGATGGTGGATAACAACCCGATACCTGCCGTGCCTAATCCCATGACGGTTGCCATCAGGGCGGTGTCGACACCGTTCACGGAATTGACAGCTCTGTGATATTTTTTCTGCAATGCGGACCGTGTATCGTGTTCACTTTCTAGTTGTTGTTTCATGTCGCATAACTGTTGCAAACGAAACCCGTGTACGGTTTCCAGTGTTTTTGCTACTTTGTCGACGACTGGATACAGTCCCATCCTATATATAATCTTTATTTATAAAATAATATTTAATTGGTTTTCCGTCAATCTTTGATGAATATATTTTAAGCTGATGAGGTAAATATGTTCGTATATAAAAATGACCCGGAGAGTAATGTAAGGCTCCTGAAAAACCATGATCCCCTCGAGGCTTGTAGTGGTGACTCTTACTGGTTGTATATAAATACGACAACGTTTGTATTGATGGCAATCATGCCAGCTTATTTTTAACCCATACAGAATTCTCACATCTTCTCCGGGGGCATCTAAAAGAAAGACTTAATAAGTGTAGAACCTTGTATCACACTGATCCACGAGGGTGGGACCCCAGTATACATTCTTAATTGTAACCAATTATGTTCGTATTCCGGCCAGATGAATAACATATTACCCGTTTGATCTGGTAATGTTGATACGTACGTCCCTTTTTATTTCTGGAAAAAAACTAGTCAGTACAAACCCATATTTTTTTATTTCGATGATATTACCATCATCATCTATGATAAGATAGGGGTAGGTAAGGATAATATTGATAATCCAGTTCAATTGAGATTCGATTATCAATTCTCATCGTTTGTAGACGTTGTTTTTAAAGTGCAGGACGTACAAGGTGTTTTCCTCGCTGGGATGATCGAATGTCCGTGTGTCACTGAGATCGGCAAGCGTGACATTGGAATGATGGTTAATATCATATATATATGTTACGAAATGGTTTTCAATTGGTTTTCGGATATTTCCTCGGAAGTGCACTTCAAACCCATGAGATGTATGTTGTCGGGTAGGAACATTTTGGTGAGCGATATCGTGTCTTCCACGGTGACGGTCACTCCCTGCAGACTGGTGTTAACGTTAGCGTTAACGTTCACCCGCACGTAAACGGAGAAACCATGGTATTGTTGTTGTTTGGTCCAGAGGAGTTTGATCCCTTTCACGATTTCAACGATGCCACGCTCTGACGGCGGTTCGCTGAGGTAGACTTGGATGTACAGCGTGTATTTCGCTGACAGATTTTCCAGGACGTCTACCATGCCATCGAATTCCGACGCCATCTACAATCCCACGTTTTGCGTCCTGGGTTTGCTCGACAGCATGTGAGCTACTTTTAGTTGCGTCAGCGCGCTGACGATCATGCTGCTTCTATGCATCGGGAAATAAGCTAAGAGCAGCGTTCCATCGTTCACGACTTTCATCAGATAGCTATCTTTGTTGTCTGTGAAAACGTGGGGAGAATCAAGCGTGATATTGAGAATCCAATCGATTAGGGATGACACTAACACCCATTTGTTGTCGTCATTGAAGATGAGAGTGTACTGCGTGTTTCTGGAGACAGCCGTGGTCTCTATGTCGTGCAGGTGGAACAGCCTGCCGCGGAACGCTAACTGGGGTTATCACCATTCGTCATCGCGGATCAGGTCATACCGTTTCTCCTTCGGTATCGACAGCCTAGGTCGTTCTTGCTATGTAGAAGGCGGCAGTGCGACACGTTTGTAAATGTTGTTATTCAGTTGCAAGGCGTACAGTTTGCCGTCGACGCCGGGTTCGTCGAAACCGCTTGGTCCACGAGGTCGGACATCGCTATGTTGGCGCATTTTCTAGCGTGTGTTCCTGGACCTTGAGACTCAGTCATTGTCGTATGTGCAGCGTCGCGCTGAGATATCCTATACTTACGGGATCGTGTTTAATATATAAAACTGATATTTTCAATTCTGTGATGTTGCCTCGGATTAATTTCTTGTACTGCCGCGACGAAAATGATTCGGTTCTGCTGTTGTTGTACTTTTCTGTTTTCATCGGCATGGCTTTCAGCAGCGTGGAATGTCGTTGGCCTTAAACATTGTCAGTCGTGCTCAGCTGATCGAGATGAATACACAGTTTGCAGTATGGAATGAGGTCGGGTCATTTCGTGCCGGTCACGGTGGTTTATGGTGGTATGTCGTTCGACATAAACCCGATCATTTTTGCCAACGGTCGGCTGAGTCTCAAAGTGTTTTCTCCGTTGATGGCTAACACGACCATGCCATTCGAGTAGTTCATTTTGAGTTCTGCTCCCACTGGTTTGAATATTTCGTCGTTGAGCGAGCAAATGCTGTAGTAGCCGTCAATTAATTGGTTGCGGGTGTTATTGATGAACAGCTTGTTGTTGTGTCCACCGAAGTTAGTCCATCGCAGAGCGCGACTTCGAGCTGACCTGACGTGTTATCGTGATTCCCGGCAGCGTGACGTACATATTGAAACAATATATATAAATATATGTAATGATAATTTTAATATGAGTGATAACGAAATTGCGAATCATGATGGATTCAAATGGAACGAGATTTAAAACGAATTTTATCGATATTTTCTAAAACTATATCGTAACCGTCAGTAATGCTCAGGTGGTGGTAAACTGGAATCAAATCCCGATGCAGTTTTGGCAAAACCAACTCAATTTTGCCGTGTGGTGTGCGACGACGGGATCGGGTGTGACACTCAACTATGGAACAGACAAACTGAGTAAGGCAGTCACCTTGTTTCATGTTTATTATCAGACGAGACGAATTTTGAAGGAAATAGGTGCACCTCTTCCACAAGATACAGCGTGGAGTATGATTGATGACCCGTACGATCGACGTGTGTACGAACATGTTTGCGATGAATTTATGATTTCCACGAATAAAGACTTTCGCCTTCCCGGTGTGAACCATGGTCTCGGTAAACTATACACTTATTTCTATAAATCCAAAACGTTTAGAATCCCTCATATGGACGGTGAGTACGTACCTGGATACCAAAGTTTACGGGCCCCATGACGAATGACCAAATTCATGTTTCGTACATCAAACAAACCCACCCTTGAGCATATTTCTAAATCTAATTTTTGTTTTTCCATATCAAATTTATAAACATATACTTTTAATGTCGCAATACGGACGAAAGCAAGATCCTTTCAGAAGATCGAGAGTGTATCTCAGCGTCAAAGCCGTGCGTCAGTCGGTGACCATCACCAACAATCCGAGCACGATCGATCAAAACCAAACGCTGCTGGTTCAATTCCCCAACCTGGGCGCGAACGGCCTCATCGTACCCGGCATGGCTAGACTGGCTTTTCACATCCCGTTGGACTCTGAGAACGACAAACGCACGATTGTGCGCAACCTGGGTCACGCCATCGTCAAGAAAACCAAACGGGAACGAGGTGCTGAGCATCGACGACAGCGATGTGTTTTACTGTTACGCAGACTTCTGGAGAACCCCAAACGAACGCAATAACATGTTGTATCAAGGACTTTGTAGGGCTAACTGCAAAAAGAATGACGTCCGTGTGGGAAAAGCTTTCACGCAAAACATACTCGATGGGATAGTGGCAAAGGACAAAGCCGTCGCCGAAGCGTACGGGAACAGGTTTTGCATACCACTCGACTTCGAGCTGCTCGAGGGGCACATGCCGTTTTACCAGGCCGCACTGGGCGACAGGCTGGAATACGAACTCACGTTCAACGACTACGGCAAAGTTATCTTCACGCTGGATGTCACAGAGGCCAGCTACATTGTTGACAACATCTCGCTGGAGTTCGACATGGTCACGAGCACGGAACTGGCTCGGCAGATTCGCAACCAGTATTCGGGAAAACTGTCCATCCTGTATGATCGTCAAGGACAAGAGCGACACGTTGTGGAACATCAACCTGAACGTGCCGGCTAGATCTATGAAAGGCATCTTGATTATTTCCGTGGCGGAATACCCGCCGTTACAAAGAAACAGCGAACTCACTTGGAATCCCGAGATAACGAAAGTGGAAGTGACCGTCGAAGGTGTGCCCAACCAACTGTTCAGCCAAGGCATGCGAGCTCACCAGCAGTGGGACGAAAGAAAAAAACAACCGGCCATCAAATGGCACCCACTGGAAGTCAACGATGTCGTCAAAGAGTTTACCCTACATGATGATTGGTTATTACCTGGACGACCATTATACGCTCTGGCTGGACATGCGATCCACGGATGACAACAGGCTGCACGGCAGCGGACGCTGCATCGAGGGGATCACCATCCAAAATCACCAAGAAGACGCAAACCGCCGGCAAGTTAAATTTATATTTGTATGTGATTATGGATGCTCAACTCAATATAGACAATGGAAGATTCGTGCAGGCCATTTATTGATTTACCTCGCGATGCGCACTGCACCATCGTGTGCGGTCAGATGGGGTGCGGCAAGATGGCATTCGTGCTGGACATGCTGGAAGAATACTATCGTGATGTGTTCGACCACATTGTCATTATCTGTCCTACTTTACAGATGAACAAGACATACACGGAGAAACTGTGGGTGATGACGGACCCGGACGTGCACAAAATCCATCCGCGAACGCTCCTTCAGGACTGGTTGCACGCTTACCATGACAAGTATAAAGGAGAATCGACTCTGTTCATCCTGACGATTGCAGCGCCAACAAGGAAATCGTGAAAACAAGAGACGTGCTGTCATACCTGGCCTTCCCGGGCCCGCACGCGAAACAAAGCGTTCGGGTGCTGACGCAGAAATTCAACTAGGTGCTTAACAACTTACGTGAACAGATGCGATGGGTCGCCATATTTCACTGCAAGGACAGGGATTCGTTCGAGGAATGCTTGTGAGAAAATGATGTGATCCCGACCAAACAAGAACGAGAACACATGAAGAAACTGTTAGCAGAAACGAAACACGCTAAACTCGTGCTAAAAAACGGACCAACCAGTAGCTTACCAACCACTTAGCAAAAATGCTAGAAATTTTATCTAGATAGACAAAGCAAAAAGCGATGCATAGCCGAGTTTTTACCTGATTGGCTTACCTAATTTATAATATGGTGAGTTTTATCGAAATTATCATAGTGTGTAACTTGACTTTCATCTCGTGTTTAGCGTGTGTCGGATTTTATTTATTTAGACTTAAAAATCGTTTGTCACATTATAAGATGGAGTCCAACGAACTTCTCCATCAAATGATTATGGGGGATGCCAATAATAATAATAATAATAATAATGATAAGCGAGAGAGACTGGTGACGCTCGCAGTCGGTAGCAAGCCAAACAATACTTGGGCGGTGACTATACTCCAGATAAAATTCATAAAATGGCCGTTGAAGAAATTGATAAGCAGTACGTTAGATACGAGTCCAGATTCGGCGCCGAAATTATAGAAACCATAGGTTCTGGTTTGATTCGGATCTTCATCGACATAACATCATACTTCTTTCCCATTCCACCGGAACGTCAAATTGACATGTGGAAAGAACTAGATAAAGATCCGATCATCCAACAGGCTTTGAGCTACGTCAGCTGCGAGCTGTACCACACATACGGCATGTTTTTGACTCCTTTAACCGTGGCGATCATCACAGCAAAGCACTGTCAATTTAAAGAAGAAAAAAAATAAAAATAATAATAATATACAACATGGATGCTGCCTCGCAACAGGAGGAAATGACGCCGACGGAAGCAACAGCAACGCCGATACGACTAGTCACCACCAAGAATCCTAAAAAAGTCACCGCCGGTAGAAAAGCTGATTTAGCCAAGCACCACAATAATAATATTAATAACTATTGCCGGTGCTGCAGCGGTGGAAGCAGGATTAATCGTATATACTAATAACAAGCAACCACCACCAAAACAAACACAAACACAATTAGAGATAAACCCACATATTGTGTTATAAAATAAAAATAAAAAAATAAAATGTTTTTGATATATACACACATGATGTCGTCGTCCAATGGAAAAACATTCGTCAACGATGCATATCACACTGCTGTGGTAGCCGGAATAGCTGTAGGTTACGCTCGCTTAAAGAAAATGGTTCTCAAACAGCCAACGATCAAGCTCGATTTCAACCTGCATGACATGGGCATGCTCGCCATAAACTTAGGGATGGCTATGGCCACCAAGGACATTCTGGTGAAACAAAGAATTATACCTTAAAACATTTTAAAGTATTAATAAACAAAACAACATTATATAAAAAAAATGGCTACGAACGCCATGATGGTTGGTGGTGCATTAGTCAACGCCCTGGCATTCTCAAATTACGAACGTCGAGCGCGGTCAAAATAGAAGCGGAATGAAAACGTCACGATTTGGCCGTGGAGAAACTGCAAGCCGCTCAAGCCGAGTACGCCAAAAAGCACGTGCAGAGTTCATCAACGACCAACTCGCTCGCGAAAACCACGCCATTCAAATGTTCAAGAACATCGACTACGCCATGCGAGAATACTACCTGCGCACCAGCAAACGACTCGAACCCCTCGATGACGAAAAAGTATTACACGCCTTCCACGGAACAGAAAGACCGGGAACTGATTTTCGTGGTGCTGGGTATAGCGGCAACCATGTTGATCGTCAAACAATTAGACTAAAATATATTTATGTGTGTATACATAAAAGATGGGAAGACGTGCACCGTATAATTGCAAGTACGTTCTGCTCGGAAAAACCGAAACCTGCGGCAGGAAATGCATCGCCGAATATTGCGGCATACACACATTGTCCTGGAGTGGGCCTTCCCAAGGCCTTAATTTCCAATTAAGGCCTTGGGAAGGCCCTGGTCCAGAACCCCCATTGTGTATACTACTCAAGAGGACACTAACGGGATCGGGTGATGAGACTCGCTGAGTTGGTTAATTCATGCAAACATGTGCTGGTTGCGTAGACCGGGATCTTCCCACTTACCCAACTCCTATTGTTTCAGGAGAAAATATCACTGGGGTGTGATAATCCCCTATAATCCCGTATTTTGCTCCCTGTGAAATAGTATCCGGGACCAAATGTGATAAAATATCAACTAGTTTTGACTCAATGTTTATCTTTATTTATTAATTATATGGCATTGATATAACTTACAGCCCCTGTAGACAAAGGACTGACCGCCGCGTCCATTGGGAACGAAACGAGTGTTTATTTGAACCGATGGTCATGGTGTCAATCACTGGATTGTCTGGTACAAACTGCCGTCGTATATTTCGGAAAAGTGCGTCCGTCAAACAAACAATTAAACAAACAAATACAGTGAGTGAGTGAGTTGGAAGGTGGGTGGGTTGGTTTTGACAGGTTAACCAGAGACAGAGAAGACAAAGTACGTGTGTCTCATTCACTCACCACCATTCACCAGGTTTACCAGAGACAGAAAAGACAAAGTATAGACCATTCACCAGGTTTATGTGAAAAGTCTCATGTCACATTCACTCACCACCATTCACCAGGTTTACTAGAGACAGAAAAGACAAAGTACGTGTGTCTCATTCACTCATCACCATTCACCGGGTTTACCAGAGACAGAAAAGACAAAGTACGTGTGTCTCATTCACTTGCCACCATTCACCGGGTTTACCAGAGACAGAAATGAGAAAGTACGTGTGTCTCATTCACTCACCACCATTCACCAGGTTTACTAGAGACAGAAAAGACAAAGTATGCGTGACTCATTCATTTACAACCATTCACCAGGTTTACTAGAGACAGAAAAGACAAAGTACGCGTGTCTCATTCATTCACCACCATTCACCAGGTTTACTAGAGACAGAACAGACAAAGTTCGTGTGTCTCATTCATTCACCACCATTCACCAGGTTTACTAGAGACAGAAAAGAGAAAGTACGTGTGTCTCATTCACTCACCACCATTCACCGGGTTTACCAGAGACAGAAAAGACAAAGTACGTGTGTCTCATTCACTTGCCACCATTCACCGGGTTTACCAGAGACAGAAATGAGAAAGTACGTGTGTCACATTCACTCACCACCGGGCCTATTAACGACAGGAAAGCACATGTCTCTGATGTACTGTTTGGGGGACGGTGTTGTAGACTAGTGGTTAAAGTGTTCTTCACGCCGAAGGCCGGGTTAGATTCCCCTCATGGGTACAATACAATGTGATTGATGGAATATTGGGTACCTCGGAAGGATGCGAAAGCAGCAATAACGCGTTGCGCCGTGTGGCAGCAAGAGTTGTGTGATCCCCAGAGGTTGAAATTGATGAGAAGATGTGCTGTTGAGATTGACATCCAATGATCGAGGGAAAAATACCAGCGCCTTGAGTCATGCACTAGTGCGTGGATATGTGCGCGGTATAAATATCCAATAATAAAAAAAATAATAATAGTATTGCTCAAAGCTACGTAAAACTATACTCACTCACGTTAAGCGTGCATGTGTCTCTGATGTACTTTACATCATGCACCAGGCTAACCAAAGACAGAAACAGAAAACTCACGTGTTTCTGATGTACTCACCTCCATGCACCAGGATCACCATTAGCAACTTCATTGTAGCTTTGTTTAGTATCTAAACGAGAATGGACAAACAAATTTAATAGATGCTGCTTTATTGAACAACTACACTGCAAGGGAAATCAATTGATGCTCTAATTAACTGCAAGTGTTGACTAATGTAGAAGATGGTTCAATATTGATTATAATAATTGTAGAAAATGTACATTGTGCACCTTAAATGTAACAGGAGACGATATCCACTATCTTTTTTACTGTCAATATCTTAACGAAATAAGAAAAAGGTTTCCGAAAAGGTTCACTACAAAGCCTTCAATATTTAACAAGATTTATATATTTCAGACAAAAAATGTATCCACTTCAATAACATTGCCCATATTTTGTCCATATGTAAATTCAGATAAATAAATAATTGTATTATTCATGTATATGATATTTATGTATGTCTGATGTGCCAAGGGTCCTAAGCGACTGTTTTCTATTGATCTTTCTTTCACCCCATTTTGTTAGAATGCTAGTTGCTCCAGCAGGTACGACATGAATATCAATCGTTATCTGTCGGTTCAATTCCAAACTTGTTCGGTCCTTGATAGGAAATTGGAGACATACGCTATTTAAAGGTCAATGTCACCAGATGGAGTAAAGTAAGCCTCTCTGGGAGAATTACTCTAGTAGCATTGACATTACCAGAAATGTGCCTGAATACAAACTAATAAGACCGACAGTACCCTTTCATATCCACACGAAATCCCTGATGGTTGGTACAAGCCATAATAGGGAATTGCAACGACATGCTTTTGGTCACTGATGCCTCCTCAAGTCCACCAAAAACTTTTGAAAGCGTTATTGAGGCCATGAATGTTGCAACCTTGATCGAACACCTTCTGAGCTAGACTCGTAAAGAAATCTTGATAAAAACCATGCTCTATTATACTTCAAAAGTATAACGGGAAAGTCTACTTTTGGAATGTTGAATACATCCCTCTTGTCCTACAACCTTGTGAAAAGTGTGTTGTCTCTGAATATATATGCAGCGGTTCAAATGTAGCGGTTTAACGGGTCCCTACTAATTCAGGTTCTTGTTAAGGTAAATCAGCGGAAGGGAATTGAATATTTTATGGCTACTGAACGACAACAGGTAATTGATACACATGAAGCTTAAGTTAAATTAAATATTCCCAAATGTGAAATAGAACTTAAATTTCATTTGCTTTCATGGAAGGAATTAAATGACAAGTCACAAACATATAATCGCTTATATCTTTGATATATTGTTGGCAAGGTGCAGACTTACCATCTCTGGATTGTGTGGCCCCCCATCAAATGGTAGAGAATATTGTTGGGTGTGGCGTTTGGCAACAAAAACAATAACTTTCTTTTATAAAGTATGTACGTGACGGGTGCTACTCGTAGAACGTGACAAACTTACTCTTTTCGCGAACACGTGACAACGTCACTGATTTTAGCTATCCCTACTTGTTATTGTCAGCACTATTTTTTTTGCGTCCAATGGAATCAGATTGCGACAGATAATCGATACAGTCTTGTTAGCTCTGATGTTGATGTTTAAAAGGGTATAATCGAACAATCAATATGTCTGACAACAAGCAAACAGTTGCACCTTAAGTTTGAAGGAAAATCGAATACAGAAGTATAATAAAAATATTATTTTATGATCAATTGAGTCTGTTCAAATCAGTATGTATGCTTGGTAACACAAATATACGTCAAAGCAATCAATCAGTGTATGTTTTTTTACAAAACCTATCAGTTTCACGTGACATACATACTCAGAGGCAAAAGTTACTGTGACATGGATTTCTTTTATTGGTAATCTTTCGATTGATTTTCTTGGATTGAACCAGAGAAAGGGTGTGGTAAAATGGTGGAAGTAGCCAAAATATTGAAAATAATTTAGTTTAGATGGGGAGTTGAGAAGTTGGACGTAAGAGGGTTGGGAAGTTCATTGCGTATAAGTTCAACTAAGTAAGTAGTGTAAAGTATATTGTGACTTATTGTCCAGTACAGTTAAACTGTTGCTGATAAGCTAATAAGGAGTCTACTAAATAGATGAAAAGGGTTGAATGTTAAAAAGTAGGGCTGGGGAGGCAGGGTACGGTGTTTATGTTTTGGTTGTGAAACGTGCGGTGTGTGGGCTTGACATTGTGAATTAGTCTGGATAATCGAGTTTACACTGTAATGTGTGGTTTAAACATAGTTTTGTATTCATAAAAATGAATTGGGATTGGTGAACAAGCTATACAGCTTATATCAACACTGCTCCCATACAACATATAATACAAAATTTAGGTGCAGCATGTGTCGTCATCGATAGTGACTATTTAGTTTACACTGTAATATGTGGCGGGATAGATATGTTTTAAAGGGTTTATTCTGAATTTAAGGGTACCTTTTTTGTTTGGTGTTTTGATATTTTGTTTTCAGACCCAGTCTGGTAGTTTAGGGTAATTTGGTTTCTTCTAGTAACTACTAGGTAGTACCTATGACTTTTGTTTTTCTTTTCTTTTTGGGGGTTGGTGGGGGTGGGAGGTTATATTGTAAGGAGTGTAGTTCATCCTATTCGGTAGGGGATAGAGAAGGGCGGGAGCGACTCACTCCAGTGTGAACATGATAAATGTTTAGTAGATGTGCAGGAGGGTTAATTTGTCTGCATCCCAGTGAATGTCACCTATTGCTCTCATTCGATTTGAATCGTTTTGACACGAGTTGACCAAATTATAAACAAGATAATACAGGTAGATAATTTCATATATTGAACGAGTTTCAAGTCCTCCTCTGGAAACGAAAATGTTACGAAAGGTGAACTGGATACACGTGTCACCAATCAGCTTATCAAAACCTATGCGACCACGTCCAGCTGAAGCCTTTACTTTACTTGACTTTTATTCTCAATAGACCACCAATGGTGGTATAAGAGTACATATCACACACATCAATTATTTCATACAGTCAAAATGGCGGTGGAGTATAACAATATATTGTAGAAAATCAGTTTTTGGTATAACATGTCTATTATCTAACTTTTGTTATAGTAAAAAGATAATATTTTCTAATGATGATCATGATGATCACGTTATTCAGAATTGAAGGCCATGTGGCCAAGAGTACAACAGGTAATACAACATTGTCATGGTGTGTAGAGTTGAAATCTAATTCATAATACAATTTTTTTAACGTAGGTTTTGCTTCAGGAATATACATATTCCTTTAAGAACAGTGACACTGTGTATCTTCATAAGGGCTCGGAATTTGACAATTGAAGGTGGGCTGTAGAAATAGGCTGGAATACATTAGGATCTGCATCGGTTATAAAATGGACATATTAGCAACAAGTGATATTCGTCTTCAAGCACGTTTAAAGTACATTTGTTACAAACTAATTCTTTATATGGGACAATTATCTTTGAAAAACGTTGTTTTTGTATATTCAAGTTATGTGATTGGCATCGGAATTTGATCAATATTCGCATAAGATCTTTGTTTAATGCGCCACAGGAAATATACAGTTCAGGTTCAAGAAGTGACTTAAATGTACTATAATTTACAAGAAATGATGAGTTTCTTATTTTACTATTCCAGTGTTGTATATTAATATATATACAGCGTTGTTTGAACTCAAACATGAAGTGAGTTACATCGCCACAATCTTGGGCTAACCAGACATAGGAGAAACCTGTAGTCAATAGAAACATTCGAACATGTGAAACCCAGTTTGTGCCTCCGTTATCATCATAGGCTTTCATCATCTTATAACAGGCATTCGGGTATCTATTTTGGTCCATACGAATAATTCGGCACCAATATTTAATACACCTTGACTGGTAATGTACACACAAGTTATATCTGCCAATTTATCCAAGTACAGCATTTTTTTACTGAGTGACAGAAATCCTTTATAGTACTCACTATGAACCTTTTCAATACACGTTCTATAAGTATAGCCCTAAATTTCACTTCCATAGGTTAGAATTGGTAGTATCTTACTGACATATATATTATTAGCAATAGTTAAAGACATGCTTTGATACTTGGTGAACAGTTGAAACAGAGGGAGACATGCACGTCTGGCTTGTAAAGATAGCGTTTCACATGCTTTGGACCAAAGCAAACGAGATGAAAGTACAATTCCTAAATATTTATAATAAGGGGTGGCCTCTACAGGTAGACCTTTAAAATACCATTTTTCATTTCTCTTAACGCGTCCTCCGTTTCGAAAAACAACCACCTTAGATTTATCCCGATTTACTTCAAAGCCCCACGTGTTACAAAAATCTTCAAGAATGTCTAATTTTCTTTGTAAATCAACAATGCTATCTCCTAGTAGTGCAACGTCATCCGCGAACAGTAATATCTTTATAGCTTCTATGTATTCATTTACATAAATTCCAAGAGTATTGCCATGATGGAGATCGTCTGCAAGTTTATTGATGAAAAGGATGAAAAGTAGCGGACTGAGCATATATTTATAAACTTTGGTAGGTATTTTAAAACAGTAAAATCTGAGTTAGTAAACAAAATTCTATCAGATACAATGTTTGAGTGTTTGAGCAATTTGGTTGGTGTAAATTTTCTTCTAGATTCATGAAAAGCAGGATAGCGAAATACATAATGGAACTTTTGAACTTTTGGAACTTTGAGGTGTATATATTCTGTATATAAATGCAACGTTTAGAGATAGGTAAATCAGTATTATATGTTACGATGGCAGTCCTCATTTCACAAACGGAATGCTTTACACATCATTTATTCATGTATATATACTCAGCAGCAAAACAAACGTCAGTACGAATTCAAAATTAGATAGGCACTGTAATCAATTCATTACAGAAATGGACATAATAAACGGATCAAAAACATTTTGTGTGTACAATATCCTGACACATCAATGAATAACTCACCACAAATCCAAGACATTACGTGAACGTTTGCAGTCCATTCAGACTCTTGACTTCAGTATCTAGTGTGACCACCACGAGCGGCAATAACTGCAGCACAGCGTCTATGCATGGAGTGCACCAATTGATTGATGAAGGC